TCGAGCCGTTCGTGAGCCATTCGCAGACAAGATGATATACCTGCAGACCTGCAGACGCACAGACGTCCGAAGTAGAGTTTCAGTGGTTTTGTATAAGCTAAAGCAGAAGATAATAAGGCTGGGAAGTCGCAACTGCAGCCGTTGTATCGTCACTCACGTTGAACAGTCCTTGCCATTTGGTGAGGCTTGTCATTTTATTTCCCCTACCAGTGAAATGAATAACCAATCAAATTGCTGTCAGAGCACGAACTTCTTTCGGGCAGGCTCTTGCGTGGGCTCGACTACAACTGGTCAGTTCTATAAGTCAGCCTGTACTGATAGGGGCGCCGGGAAGAGGTGGTGGATGGAAGGCCGCTCCTGTGCGTGCCTTAGCTCGAGACTCTGATTGGTTACTGCCAGCCTATCAACGCGCATTGCGCTTAAATATCACTTAGTATGCGGGGGGGAGGCTAGTAGTCGTCGCGCGAGTCGTCTTTTCTTTCTGCTTTCCATTCGTATGAGAATTTTCTTATATGTACATTGGTTGGCCTATTTGCTCACTATGTACTGTTTTTTACTCCTTTTTATTTATTTGAACTACAAAAATGAGGTGATCTGCGTACGACACTAACAGCATTTTGATGGAAGTCCAATGTGGCCTAAATTTTGTGACCCATTCAGGGACGACTCTTCATGAGGTTGCTAGTTGCATTCTTAGGCCAGTATGCGTCCTCTGTAACCTTCCGGTTAATTTGGTTTGGGTGCCCAGTTTGCTTCCCAATCTCCTTGGAACCGAAACTAAGGCCCACGAAATAGCAGGACCCTATTTGAGTGTCTTTTAATAAAGGAATGCTATAATTGAAAGGTATGCCTGTTCTCGGTTTGATTACCAGTTTCTGCAAGGAAATATTCTAATCGGTTTGCAACTCGATGAAACATCCTACTAGTGTCGTTATTGTGGACAACACTGCCACTGAGGTCGGTGGCAAGAGCGGATGCTCGCGTTCACCACAGCTCCTGCCCTCAGGAGGCGAGTGCCATGGTGCGTTGTCGATTGTTGACTTCCGCATTACAGCATGATAATGCTTCTGTGTACTCAGTCGTCCTCTCCAAAAACACTCATAACGCTGGCCCCGAGAGGTAGCTTTTTGAGTCAGTTTCTGCGGTTAGATAACAAACCCAATCTCTTGCTTCTTGGTCGTCTCATCGTCATCGCCGTGCCAGCTATGGTGAGGGCATCAAGCAGTTGTGCTGACGCGGCCCTCCGGATACTGGCCCTGAAAATCAGTGTGAGTCAGGGACCGATTCGACCGCCAACCTACCACGTCACTGTTTCGCTGGCTCCTACTTCATGTAGCACCTGCGCTACATGCATGACCCCAGCCGGAATCTATCATTGTGCACTAAAATCTGTGGCACTGTAAGTTTCCAGTTGATAGGATTATTCGGGCCTTGTATGTGCAGTTGCTGACTGGTGGACTGCAATTCAGGCTGTAATGTTTTTTTTTCTTAACGTGACCTCTATAGCACTATCACACATGTAGCACTAAGCCGCTCAGATCAAAAATCTGGTGAGTTGGTTTGCGGCAATCATTTTGTACATGGGACACACGTCATGCAAAATGCCGAACTATGCAAAAGATTGATCATCATTCGCAAACTGACATTAGCGCATGTAAAAAAACTAAAAACAATATTAAAAAAATCTTGAGCAAATTTAAAACTTGAATGAAATGTAAAAACTGTTATAACGAGGGGTTCAGCGTCACTAGTGTTATAACGATGACATCTGACGTGTGTCACCGTCAAATTACGACCT